ATTGGGGCTTAAAAGTTATCGACCTTATTCCCAGGGTCTCTCTTATTCCAAGCCCGTGGAGAGAGAACTTATTAAAGAAATTATAAAAAGAAGCTGTCCTCGACTATAGACGGCTTGAAAGTAGGAAAAAAGCAACTTGAAACAAATGAAGCTAAAATCTTCAAGTTCTATACTCATTCCTTTCAATATCGAGTAAATGAGCGTGCATTATTCTCCTTTGTACATGTATTGTAGGATTGACAAAGGCACTGTAACTGCCCCATCCTATCCCCTACCCGCCAAAAAGTCAACAACCATAAGATCTCACTTTTATCGTGACCGGTCCATCACGGACCAACACCTTAAATTGTTTCTTTTCTTTTTTTAGTAATTTATCTATCTTCTTACTACATGCCTGGTTCCACGAAGGAAAAGATTGATCACCTTTAGTATTCAACTGCTAATATAAGACTAAGACCGTAAAAAAATATATGAAGTAATAAATAAAACTGTGGCTTTTAAGTAGCTTGTACAAATGTCTGCTTTATGCCGTCCTTTCATAATTTTGAGGCACAAATTAAATGAGCAGAAGGCCGAGTCAAGGCGATGATCCTAAAGTAATCAGGGAGGAAAATGTTGTTCCTAGAGCCTGTGATCCTTTTGGTCAGCACCAATGATTCGTAACGCTGGACAAGGGTAACCAAGGCTCTGGAAACGAGATTGAGAAGGGACTGAGTGTACCGACACCCCACCCTCAGACCGCCCTACAAGAGCACAGACCCGCCAACTGTTTCGTCTGGAATCTGCTCCACGAGACTTGCTCTCTTACGCTGCTTTGACTGTAGCTGGGCGATGTTGATTTCTGTCGGCCAGATTGTATGTTGGGTTGCCATTATTACAAACCTAAGTATTAAAAATGAAATATTCACTGACAACGCCTACACATATCTGACGATATTTAACTACATCGAACCTGCAGTGTGAAAATGAAATCCTTGAAATACAGTCTGACCCTTTGTAACAGACCAATTTAAAGACAAAGCCGATGTATCATTAGTCTTAATAAGCTCCGGTCCCTCTCTGCCTGTCACGTAACACCGAGGAGAAAAGGACCCTCTCTCACAGGCGTTGCGTGACAGCAGAACACAAGAGACACGGAAGAGGGGAAGAACTGGGGTACGGTAATCCTATACAAGAGGTCCCAACTTCACAGTACTCGATAAATGTAACGCCGCGTTGGGCATAGCATTTATGACAATAATGTTTCAAATCTGCAAACAAATGGTCTTCGGGGATGAGGGCAAACAACCGGACGCGAAGTCTCAAGAGCTTTGACTTTAACCTAATTCTGTGGGATATACAAGAAATTTTAGGAGCGTAACAAATATTTGGTAGCGACCATCATTAGTGAGCTGTGCTTGGGTTATCTGCGGGCAGATCGTAATCATGGCAGGGTTAACCTCTTTATAATTCTTCAGGAACGTTAAAAGCTGCCTGTAAACAGAGAATTAGTCGCTTTTTCACTCCTTACGGTGACCAATGCAATTTACAATACCAATTTTTTGTAAACAGCAAATATATAAGAATTTATCTTCCACTGCTCCAACATAGGAGAGTACATCCTTAAAATAAATGCAAAAAGGAGAAAAACTAACATACCTCGGAAGAAGAGCAAGCACCGAACTTAATGCACAGACGGACCAGAACTCCACCGTTGCCATGGTAACAAATGGTACATAGTACATATCCCAGAAGATGTTTTCTATGGCACCATATACGGCGAACCACAAAAAAGACAAAATTATACTGCCCCACAAAATCAAGTGATGGAGGAAAGTCTGCAAAGAAACGAGTAAAATTGATTTGCTCTCACGCTCAAAACATTTGTGATTATTTCATCTTCCTCATTCACTAACGAGTTTTTACGTTTGCTTGTTTGTCTTGTTTTTTACTAAAAAGTGAGTCATTGGATAATACAATTCTAGCGTTTTGATTGGCTTAGCCATCATGGTATATGAGCCATTATACCATGCTCTCCATATATGGTCGGTGTACGTGTCAGTTCAAAATTGGAAGCTAGCTGAGATTTTTTTTTTCTATATCACGCACTACGACTTACACACAGGCCGACTGCACCAATTTCATGGGTTTTGAAACCACCCAGCTAAAGTAAAGGACCGGGTCCATCCCCCTCCTAGTGCATGGCCTTCCCCGCACATATGAGTTTTTACGTGAACTCATGACGTAACTTCGCGGCGACACAACTCGTTCCCAGGCCCTTATTCACACTTCACACTTGTTCGAGAAAGAAGACGTGGCTTTGTTGCGAACTATCACTAGTTAACTCACTAGCCTGTTCCAGGCTCCAAGATAGTGAGGAAAGCGGATCGAAAAAAGGTGCCCAAAACTTGCGTAGGGGCTGGAGAGAGACGGAGGACTGTTCCCGCCGATTTTTCTCTCGTTCGCTATTTCATTGTTCGCTCGCTTTATTCGCCCGTCCGCGCTGACCGAGAGCCTGGCCAAGATTATTCACTCACCCACTGCGCTGTTATAAGGGCTAAATACAAATTAGCGACGAGGACTGAACTCTGGTGAAGAGTCACTCCAACCATTCGCAGATCTGCTGCGGTACCGTTGTAGACCTTAAATGAAAAAGAGAAAAAATGAAAAAAAAAAAAAAAAAGTAAAGCATAATCTATTATAGGATTTCGCTTAAGTCAAATAGCTTTTCTGATAGTCAAAAAACCGTTAACGATAAAATAAAGCAAAAGCTTGCGAAATTAATGAAAATGACGCCACCCGCCATTTCGTCTTTCCTTTGCTAATCTTAAAACTGGGCCAATCATTAACTACATTAACCACAGTTTTGATAAAACAGAACAAGAACAAGAGTATCCTAATAATAGCAAAGGTTACTTGTAGACTCCACCAACACTACTTACCCAAAACGCGGCATAAAACACCACCACGCTTTCATAAAAGGCATCTAAAATGGTCAACCAAAACCACTTCCTCGAGTACAGCTAAAGAGAGCGGAAGGAAAATCATCAATTACTGTGATTGTGCCAATCAAAAGACAGCTAGAGTTAGGTTTTCAGTCTATAAAACGCGGATTATACAAGTTTGAACATCGTCCGAGCTCTAATGCTCAACAAACAGTGAGTGATATCGCAGCTTGTTGAATTAATAAATGCTAACAGTATTCCACTGATTCGTAGATAACCTTTGAATACTTGTAAAGGTTAAAAAAGCTGCAAATTTTTATTGAACAACGATAAACACATTGCAAGACCTCGCGCGTATCAAAGCAAACGACTGGAAACAAACGAAGTACTAGCCATCATGGGAAGGCCGTCCCGCCGTTCTTTGCCAGCGTCGAATAAATGGCGAGAGAAACGAATGGGTACGAGGCAATTGAAAGTTCACGTTCAGCGTTCAATATGGGATCATACATGGGCGTTCAACTAGAACACTGATATATTTATTACGCTCTAGGGCGCAGCAAACAATGCGTATTTTGTTAAAGGGGTTGTGTTACGGCTGTCCAGGTAATCAGTTTTAAAAATTCTGCCAATTACATGTCCTTATGCGCAATGGAACTTATCCTTAGCAAAGAAAAACAACTGGCAAATGACAACATCACTGTCTCATGTCAAACAAACGTCTCCTAAGCATTACATCAAACGTAACAGACAAAAAGAATGAACTATAAAAAACTTTTAGGTTAAAAAGCTTTAAAAACCTCAACTTAATTCGTTTCAATCTTCTTTGAATCTGTTCATCCGTGCCTTCGTTTGTTTAGGCTGGGTTATTTACACCTTGTTCAAATGTTTTGAGCAGTTATTTTTATGTTTCGCCCAATATGACGGCAGTTCTGAATGTTTGAATTTTGATAAATTTCGTGACACAGCTCCTTTAACAACTCTGATATCGTCTTGTAACACAGACTGACCAACCTTACTGTTCTGTCCGGTTTTATAAAGATCAGGATTTGCTGTAAGTATAGGATCAGGGACATCTTTATCAAGTATCGCACAGATGACAGGGGGCACCGAGGTGAACAGAAGGTTGAAGAAAATGAGAGAGATGTCATCAATAGCGTTCGAGCCTGAGAAGCCATTGTACAGTTGGAACCAGAACAAAACTAATACAAACATCTGAAAGGCAAACAACAAAATATTAGGTAACTTATGACTGACGAGTAACCTCTCTTCTTCTTTGTATGAAAGAGCCTAGGGTATTTATTTATTTATTTATTTATTTGAGATCATTTCGCGTGCTGCTCTCGAGAGACTTCTCGCGACTGCTCCAAATTGAGAGCTTGCTCGCAGGCTATGTAAAAAGGGTAGTAAACTCAAGCAAACGTAAAGAATTTTCCCTAAACTCTGCACAGTGTTCGGGAATTTTCCATAGCAAACTTACGTGAGTGCTTTGCGGTGACCCCATTTGCAAGCCGACTACCTGACGACTGCCCAGTAAGCAGACGCTACATTAGCTACTTTTCGCACGCCAGTACACACCGCGAGAATGTAGCCTCTGCTCAAAGGGTACCTGACGACAGGCAAGCCCATCAAGAGCCACGCAGTTACAACCGCTATAAAACGATCGTACAATCCCTTAACTTTAAATCTTAGCCTGTGCCCCAGACGTAATTTAACCCCGGTTAGTAACGTCTGCAAAGCAGCGCCGAGATCCTCGCTCTGGGCCCCCAAAGAATTTGATGAATTATCGGAAGTGAATTTTGAATTTCCCTTTAAACTGACTGGAAAATCGACAATGGCTACTTTAACGAGAGGCCAATCATGGTACGTACCCAAATCTTGGTAACATGGAGGGGACCCAGAATAGGAATTCCGGCACTGTTTCGCAGACGGACTTAACCATAGTTTAGTTTCGTTATGGCGCAGGCTACCTAAATCTGAAATCAGTCAAAATTGAAGGAAAATGTGACTTAAATTTCATTGTGTCAAATATCGAAAAAATAACTTGCACCACGCGAAATTTTTGCCACATAGGTTTCAATTCAGTGGTTTTAATTCATAGTATTTCGCACACAGACTAAGAAGCTTCAATGCATCATAAGCGCCCGAGATGTTGAAAAAGTAGACAACACTATCCCCTGGATAAATCCATATCCAGTGGACAACGCAGTTGCTTTCCCTAATACTTATCCACTGCATAGTGATTTAAACCGTTCACAGCGCAAAATACAGTTTTTACAACCGAGGGCACGTGTTTACATATGAGTGAAAGGGTTAAGGCCATTTCCTTTCGGTTTCGTTGAAGAAAACCCTCTCTGCAGAGCCCTTTTATTGCCTTACTTCAGAGAGAGTCTGCTTGAAACTGCTTGAATTAATGCTTGAATAGCGTAAGATTTTTGAGCATGCGCTGCATGTTGCTAGGATTCAGTTTCGAAGCCAGGCCTAATAGCCGTGTGATTGGTACAGCGGGTTCAGTTACGACCATCGGTTTATCAATGCTTTCTCGTAACCAGGGGTAACAACCATATTAACGAGAGAAAACAGTCCAGAAGTTCGAGCTACGACGACCTGAAAGGCTTGTCGCGATTCTTCTCCTCTTGAAGAAGATAAAAAGAGGCTCTAGGGTGCTTGCAAAATAATCTGTTTCATTGTTTCTTGGGTTATAACAATCACTTACTGCATTTTTGAAGAAGAAATACAAGAACATCTTGGTAATGCGGTCATAGCACCAATGCCCATGAACCAACAGGAGACGAGATAGGAATTTAAATCGCCCAATAGCAAAGTCGCTTGCCATGACTGCCTGCATACCCTCTTGCCCAGAAATACCAATGCCTACGTCAGCCGTTTGAATCATGCTTACGTCATTAGCTCCGTCACCAATGGCTAAAGTCATTGTCTTCAGACCACTTCTGACGAGCTGAACGACTGCAGACTGATAGAGATTGATTAATTAGATGCAAGTGAAAATTTCTCTTACTTTTTTTCTGGGGAGGGAAGAGATTAACTACACCAGTAACTACGAGTCCTTTGGGTAAACGTGGGAAGATAATAGGAGTTGGCACAATTACGTGACGAGAGTCACGTCGTTTCGCCTGACTCGTCCTCATTCGTCTTCGTAACACGCACGGCGCCGGAAGTAGAGGGAGAGGTAACAGAAAGCTGGGGGCGCGTCTAAAACTTTAGTAAGGAAATTACAAAAATTCAAGATAATAAAAAGTGAAGGGAGGATTGTTCCAAAGGGCAGTCGTGCAAAAGTGCCACCAACGTAGTTCTTTGTCCTAAACAGTAGTCTGTGTGGTCGCAGATTGTCATTCACATTCAAACCGAAACTCCGAATTGGTTGAAGAGTTGATGAACAATTGATAACAGATAACCATGATCGAAAAAAAAGTTACGAAGTGAGGTCAACATCTGATTTAATAACAGCTAAAACTGTTTTCAAACTCACCTTCTGTGAGGGTGTGGCCCTACAACACAGAACAACCTGACAGCGCCGTGCTAAATCCAAGAACTTCGCATTCAAAGGATCGTCTAATGCATACATCAACGTCCGTCCATCAATCACTACACCTAAAGGCTGACTGTTTGTCGTAAGTGAACTAATATGTCCTGACACAGTATTGGAGGAATTGTCGCTACTTATGCTAAGAACTTCGGATTGAAGGTGGCCCAGCCAAGAGGTGATTTGATCTTCGCATTCACCCTAAGCTCGAAAGAAAATTAAAACAGGGAAATGTAAGGTGCTAGAAGTAGAACGACGTATAGATAATCACATGATAACTGATAGCCGTATGTAAATGTACCAGGTACCATAAACTGCCGCTTATAGGCTCCCCCCTCCCCCACTTAAAAAACGTTATAGGCCCATCTACCAGTAAACAACAAAATACACCCGATTTTAAGCCCCCAACCCCCCCCCCAAATATAAACCCCACTCCAAAAGTGTTGAAATAAATTCGATTTATTATGACTCTTTGAAGCTTAATTAAAAACTATGGCATTAAATTCAAAACGAATTTTGAGGATCACTATTGCTATGGCTTGTTTCGAAGCGCTTTTTCTAAAAGCTCCTCCGCTTACACGCTCTCCTAAAACTCCTTACGAAGATATTTACATCAGTTTACGGTATACATGTCCAGCTGACAAGCAAAAAAACCTTGCGCCGGAAGTACACGCTACGTACAAGACACACCTTGGATTTTGCGTTCAGTATAACCTTCTGCATGTTGTTGTCCAACAGCTTACAGGAGTAAGCAATATTGACTGCTGTTTCCTAATAAGGACAAATGTGGGCATGGATAAGTGAAAACATAACGCAACGAACGCAGGACGTAATGCTATAGTATAACTGCAGTTCTAAAATGTCTCTGTAATTACTTACGGACAGGCTGTCCGGGAAAGGACAATTTACGTATTTACGGTCTTCCCGTTTGCACTAATTTTTGGTGAAGGGTAGGCTGCTTCAGTTTGAAGGCTATGGAGTGTATAGGTTTAGTCTCAGGGACCGATCCTACTTTCGGATCGCTTTAATTGTGCGATTGCAAGTGTGAAATCCGGTCTTCTCAAACACAACAGTTTCTTTTTGGAAGGAACAAGGCCAAGTAGTTTCATTAGTGTAAACACTATGGACCCAACGTTTCCATATACTGTTTCTATACTAGTCCTACAGTTTCAGTCCTCCATCGTGTAACCTGTCAAAGTTCTCTCGCCAAGTAAGGAATGATATCAAGACAAAAGACCCTATCTGTTTCTCTTTCGTAAAGAAGTGGGCCGAGTTGTTCAAAGCTGGGTTAAGACAACCCAGGGTTAGTGCCAGATTTGAATTCAGATTTGAAAGCTTAAAAAGCGTTTCAGTTTTAATTCTTTTTGTCTACAAGTTGATGATTGGAAGCTCTAAAAATAACAGGGAAAATTAGCCAAGAAAATGCTTTTGAATACAAGAAAAATAAGCCCAGATTAAATTTTACCCTTGGTTTAGCGCCAATCGGCCTTCAAACAACTGGGCCCTGCACTTCAAGGCCTCTCTCGCGTAACCCAATAATGTTGTCAGGACCCCTACACTTAGCAACGATCTCAGCTTAAATCTCCACCTGTTTGTCTCCAGTAAGGACCCACACTTTCAGGCCTCCCTCGCGTAGCCTAGCAATGGTCTCTGGAACACCATCTTGCAAACGATCCTCAATACCAGTAGCACCTACGAGCTCCATTTTACACTCCAGTTTATGGGCTGACTGGTGTAGCAATCTTTCTCTATCGTGGAGTGCTGTTTCCGCATGTCGGTGCTGTTCTAGCCACTCTTCATAGTCACTGTCCGATAAATGCTGAAAACAGACAGTAATTTGTATCCAATCAATCTCTTCACAGCATTAAAATAAACAGCTGTGGCGAAAGAAGTCACACCTAACCCCGTTTTTAAATGATATTTTTTGATAGAAAAACTAAGAAACTTTGCTCTTTCGTTTAAAAAAGCTAGAAATACCTAACTAAATTATTTGGTCCATCAAGAGCCAGATCTCATTGATGAAATGTTTGTTGGGGCCCTGAGTGAATGCGAATGAAGTTCCTGCTCCTTTCTGTGTTCGGTGTGGCGTGCGTCTGCAGATCCTAAAGAAATTTCATAAATTTCGTACCTGAACTGAAGAAAATCTAATCAGAAAACAACTTTAGATGTTCCTTGAGAAAAAGTGACTAGCATCCCGTTTACATCATCTGTATTTCTTAACTTCAGCAATCATTTATAATAAAAAAAAACTGCGCTTAAAAGGTTGGTATTCCATTGTGTTTTGCTCGCTCACACAGAACATTACTTACTCTTCTTGCCATACACAATGTCCTGAGCCCATCTCTGGCATAAAGATCCAAATGTTTTACAGTTTCTTCAACTAACGAGCCCCTGGTGCCTTGTCTGGCACTCCCTCCTCCATCGCCCGCATCGACGTCATCAGGCACAAACTGCTCACTGGCTCGCTCCAGTTTTGGCAGAACGGCCGAGTCCGCTCCCTTACAGTACATTATAATACTACTATCATCTTGACGACGGACGACAACGGACATCCGCTTACGTGAAGAGTCAAACTGAAGCACGTGAAGCACTTCATATGTGACTTCGCCCTCTCCTGGTATAAACAACGTCACCTTCTCTGGACTACGCGACAGAAGCACATAGCCGTATAAACGCGCCGCTTTCACGAGCGCTGCCTCGTCAGGTGATTCGGCCTCGTAAATGATTTCACGGTTGGCGGCGTTGAGCGCACCTTCGTCCGCAGATTCTATCAAAGACGAACAACTCTTCTGTCTCTTTGATATACTCTCTAGGGACGGTTTAACTGGTGTTGCTGTCACTCCCAAATTATCCCACCCCGAGATTGCGTTACTTGAACCTGAACGCGTTGAGCCATAGTCAGGACTTAAATAATTGTTTAGAGAGCCAGACTCTCCTAGATCTAAAGGAACATGATTTTTATCAGGAGTACTAGGTAAATCTGTGTTATCTGTAGTTGGTTCTGGTGAATTTGGGTTGTTTTCTGTGTCTGATCTTCCCGTTGACACGACTACGGTATTGCAGATAGCAAGGAGAATGAAGAACTCTTTAAGATATGAGCTTTCTGGTCCACAGTAATACCCAACTCTGCTGGTTGAGTCTATTGCAGCTGCTAGCTCTTTATCCCAGTAGATTTCTTCTCCCTACGAATAAGGAAAACAGCACTCAACCACTACATCTCGAAGAGCAGTGCGGATTTTTTGCCTCAAGAATGTTTGTCGCCCAAAAACAGACACAGACACGTCACAGACAAGATACGATTGCAAGACAAGTGTAAGGCATCGTTACCATGAAACTACGCGCGTAAACAGGTACTCTAACTCTAGCCAATCATAAATGATCCAGGCAAACTAAGGAGCCAGTAGCCTGCGTAGCAGGCGCAAAAAGGGGAGGGGGCGGGGAAAAAAGCACGAAAGGGAAAAGGGAAAAGGGAACCAATCAGGAATTAGCGGACGCCAGCGTCCGCAGAAATGAAAAAAAGGGGGTTCTTATAGCAGGTGTTCCTAACCCTCTCGCCCCAATCCCCCTCCTTTTTTTCTCTTCCTCCCAATCCTCTTCCTCTTTCGACGCCTTTTACGCAGGCTAAGGAGCCAATTAAAATTCGAGCAAATGCATAAAGCATACGCAAAGCGTAGGAAACGGACGCGTGTAGGGGCCTGTTTCTCGAAAGTCCTGGTAGCTAATAGGCCCGGAAAGCTTCTTAGTGTTTGCTGTATTTACATTCAAGATCACACTTTCAATAATTTTGACAATGATACAATGAAACTATCAGCGAAATGGAGTGGTTTGTGAACTAGGAACTGTGTGGTGCTACTATTCAACAAGTTTTGATTTCAAAATTTGCACTCGGGCCCAAAAAGTTTCCGGGCCTTTCGAGAAACCGGGCCCCAGGTTAAGATTAGTTTTAATGTTAGTTTTGATTGGTTACGAAAGAGAGCGAAACACAACAACAGTTGTACTTTATTTATGCTTTTTCCTAACATATTTCTATCTTAAGTGAACTTGCTGGTTTTTCAAGGGGACAAGGTCAATACTTCATATTGCCTTGAAATCTGAACTTTAAACGGTTAAACCTAAGTTTTCGTACGGAAAACCAAAACGCAAGCTCAACTGGTCGAAAATTCGACCGGTGCCGTGTGAGCGTAGGCTAAGAACTGGGAATTCTGTTATTGTTGTACACTGCCTCTGAGATAAAGCTTTTTTACCTTTGGTTCCTCGGAAATTTGCTGGTACATTTGATCAGCGGCTGATGAGTCTACAGTATCTGCACCTAGAGACAAAAATGGTGCCAAAACGTTTACAACTGTATAGTAAAAGAAGCAAACCACAAACACAGACACAGAGACGTATTCACTGAGTAGCTGAAGTTTGAAGCATTCACCTCTCTTGGTAAGTTACCATTAGCTTAGCATTAAGTTAGGGACCCTAAGCTGGAGAAAATCTTAAGTAGGACCAATCGTAGGAAATTCACTGAATAATCATAAGGACAACTCATTGTAGAAAATAGTCACTGAATAATGTAGGCCCTTTTTGTTTATAACTTAAGGCCCTACCACAAGCTAAAACGGCGTGCAATGGCGATGCGAAAAACATTTTAAGACCTTGTTACTCAATAATCAACTTTGCAAAGTGTTGCAGTGTGTTACATATACAGACTCAATTTGACTAAGAACGGTTTTCCGTTCCTAATCGGTTAAGGCACCATCAACATAGGAAGACTAGTTTTACGAAGGGATATTTAAAAATCACTGGGGAAACTCGTGTTTTATCATCGGTTTTATCTGGTAGATGACGTGCAGAAATCCTTGCCTAGTTCCTAGGCCTCATTATTGCGCGCGGCCGATGCGTTTTGGGTCAAGTGGTCCGAGCGAGTTTTTGTACGCCTCGGATACGTCACCGAAATGCATTGAGCGAGAAGGCATGGGAAGACGCCGTACAGGGACTAGGCAACTGAAATCCCACACCTTACATTACGTTACGTACCAAATTTATCCTTGTGGTCAAAGTTTCGCCCGCCGATAGTGCACCTCTTAAACACCATTTTGTTTTCTGTTAAAGTTCCTGTCTTGTCTGAGAACACGTATTTGATTTGCCCCAGGTCTTCATTAATATTCAATGCGCGGCAAAGGATGGGTTGATCCATTTCGGCATAATAGAGCTCCAGATCATTAGAGATGAAATAAACCTGGAGTAACTTGACAACTTCCATGGATACATAAAGAGATATGGGTATCAAGACCTAATGAACAAGAAAATACTCAAATAAAGTCATAGTTGATGGTCCAGTTTCGAACTCGTCGCGACGCTGAATAGAAGCACTGAAGGCTCACTTATACACGACACCGAAAAGAACTCAAAACAGAGCGGGATTGTATTGAAAATACTTAAGGATGGGGGGGGGGGGGCGCTATGTCATGCTACTTGCTATCTTTTTAAAATGTCAAGATGTGTCTTCGCATCAACAGAATAAAGAACAATGGTACAGTTTTATTATTCAAGACTATATTTTGAAATCGTAGGCCCTAAAACTGTTTCCTGTAGTCTGTTGCTACGGATGGTGAGCACATGGATAGAAACTTGAAAAAGTTGGGGCAACATTTTCAAGTTCAAATGAAATGCCCGCAAAAATCACCAAAAAAATATTACGGTTAGCGCTATCTGCTAAAATTCACTTAATATCTTCACCATAACTCTACAGGAGCATTTTGTGAATATAAAGGAACAAAAAATGACTTGAGCATAGAGTTGACCCCGTTTAAGCCCTAATACAACCTTGCTGTAGTTCTCTCTTCGGCCACGCCCAAGTGACTTCATTGAGTTTGTCAAACGCTAGCCTGAAATCCCATTTCATTCTGTGTACTCACTGGACCAGAAAATGAAAGGTCTATAAAATATTTTTGAATCAGTACAAACCTGTAAAATGATAATAAAAGTCCAGAATCTGAGGAATGCCTCCATTAATGGTCCCCTTACAAATGGTTCATCAGGACCTTCAGAGCCAGGAGTGAAATGTCTGTTGAAAAAATCGTTGTTGTTCGTCCAGACACCACACCCTGAAAGATAAGCCAGCATAAAGACAGATCCGTCAAAGCTTACAACCTTTAACCGCTTTGAGGGTACGTGCGTTCAATTGTCCGCATTAAGGAATTAAGAATACGCAAAAGTTTTGATACCAGTGTGAAAAATCATGAGCCCCAGGCCAGAACCGTTGAGTCCCAGTTCAAACAACAACGAGTCCAAAATTGAACATGCTTGGGCCTTTATTTAACCAGACAGTTAATCTGAAGACAGACTGAAAAACTCTGTATTACAGTATGCTGAAATTAAAATATAGTCCTTCTTTTTCAAGGCACAAAAAAGGCTAAATGAAATACGCATCGTTAAACAACAGCGATAATAACTGCCACAGAAATTACACGAACAGAATATTTCTACAAAAACACAAGTTCAGCCCAATCGATCGATCTTTAATCGTCCTTATTATGTCGTTCAAAAGTTAAAAATCTGCTTGAAATAAAATATTCCGGTGTATGTAGTGTTTAAGTTCTTATTCCGGAATAATATCAATCGAACGCACCCAAAGATACGAAACTTAACACACCCCTTACAGTGTGAGACTGTTTTGGTATTGGGGGCTGCTATTACATGTACTTCTTCCATTGGCTATTTCGAGGTCGAGAAGGAAACGATTATTCCCCAAGGCAGTCCCACATGACAGCACAATGGCTCTTATGCATGATTACGTAAGATGAGCAAATTTCACCACCAAGCCTCATTTGTAATACCCTGTGTTCCGGACGTTATTTTTTTCTTATCTAAATCCTAATAGTCTCGGAAGCTTTATGAAACCGTCAGCACGGTTTATTTGAAAACGAACGAAGCTCTGGAGCCAGGGTACAAGTAAGTCGCCCGACTGTAAGCAAACTCTTCGCATTTTGCACCCCATGTGCGTGGGTATTCTTTTCAACTCCACTTCTTTGGCAATTCATTCATGCAAAACTTTTGCACCTTTACAATTTAATAATGAGGCTTGGTGGAGAAATCTGCTCGTTTGACGTAAACGTGAATAAAGGCTATTCAACGAAACACTAACCCAGCTCAAAATAGCCAAATTAAGCTGTACCAAAAGCCCCCCCCCCGGGGGGGGGAACTCCCATATGAAACAGACGGGGATGCTCGTCGTCTCGCTTAGGGGTGTAAATTTTGGATTTTGGTCTCGCTTAGGGTGTTCCGGGCAAAGCGCCAATATTTTAAGCCACCAAGGTCTCGTTTAGGGTTCTGCGAAGAAACGCAGAATTATGCGAAGAGAAACAGAAGTCAAATTTTCTTTTTAACTTTGTTTTCTATGTCTTTATATCATTAAAACTCATTGCATGTCGTATTTGTGTGTTTTTAAGCGGTCTCTTATAGGGGTCAAAAGCCACTCCCAGATTGGTCTCCTTTAGGGGTTAAATTCAAAATTTCCGACGAGCATCCCCGTCTGTTTCATATGGGAGTCCCCCCCCCCCCCGGGCAAAAGCCCTAAGCTCTAAACCTTTTTTGTCGGCATTATGGATTGTCCGTATCATTAAATCTAAAAGTATATTACTGGCACTGTTTTTTTTGTTTTCGTTTAAATAGAAATGAAATATTTACCGACTGCGCCAAGAAAGCAAAGAACAAAGAGGATGACAACACAAGCAATAACATCCATGTTGAGGTCTCTTTCAACCTTACTGCGTTTGTATCGCGGACCACTGTTATTCTTGAGAGCTTTTGTGTCATGGCCTGGAATATAATGAAATGTATTATATTACATGTAGTTACCGGTCAAGTGAATGTACATTACATTCAAGAACATTTTAGCAGGCAGAAGCTGTGACTGAAAGAGAAGGATGGCACAGACAATCAACTAAACAATACCCAGACTCAAGTAGCTCGCCATGTGTAAGGCAATCCAGGAAGCCCTTGACAGTCTTGGATTCTCGATTCCGCACTGTAGATTGGGGATTCCAGATACCGGATTCCAGTTTTTGGTCAGTGGAACTCAGATTCCGGATTCCAATCATTAGTGGGAATCCGGATTCTTTGAGCAAGATTTCAGATTCCAAAGCCTAGGAGTCTGGATTCCACAAGCAAAATTTTCCCGGAGTCTGAATTCCACAAGCAAAAATTTCCCGGATTTGGGGAATCTGGATTACATAACAATCTGGATTACATTGGGTGAAGCGGCCATCTAGAGTGGAATCCCGATTTTTGGAACAACCTTGAGAGAAGCAAACTGGTTTGAATTATCGGGAGGACATATTGAAAACCCCAGGGGTAAAATTAACGCGTTTGACTGGTAAAGGGAAGTTATGTTTGGTTTGAATAATCAGGAATTTCGAAAAATCAAGGGTTAGAGAAATTGGAATTCTACTTTATCTGCAATGTACAGCTGTAGCAAAGGACATGTTGAAACATCCAAGAATTGCTTTTTATATGGCCTGTGCAGGCCAATTTTTAGATTTTTAGGTTAAACAGCTGAAGTTCTTAACACTAACTAGATTCACCTTTCACAAACCATGAAAGATTAGTCATCACATGAACATGAACAGACTTTTTCCTATCATTTAATTTGGAAACTGACCTGCATAGACAACCATTCCCTCCACCCAGTCAGTGTTGCGAATGACACAACCACGCAAGAGTAAATTGTTCTTGCCAACAGAAATCTCCCTTCCATTATCATGAATCCTGACATAAAGACAGAGTATAGAAAAGTCAATATTCAAGAAGCATGCAGTTACTTTATTAGCGAGATTGGTCTTCTTTCCTTTAATGTTTAATTACCAAACCTGTCGAGACTTGACAACGTAATTAGCCTGCAAGCAAGCTCTGTGAGGGGGGCCGTGGGGTACCCCTGAGGGGCTTTGGGGTCAGGGCAGGAGAAGGAGAGAGAACCCAATGATTTTATGTTATTCCCTAGCTCTGCAGTTGTGCTTTCAGGGCTTTGTTTGATCGAAAGAAATTTATTTTTCAGGAACATTTCAATGTTTGTTTACATTCAGCACTCATTTCCATTCTGCACTGTTTGACCAAAATCTGACAACTCAGCCGACAGTGAGCTACTGGGGGCACTGGAGGCAGAATTCAAATTCCTGAGATGTGACTGCAAGCTCTCTCTCCCTTTACTACCCTGCCCCAGAGCCCCTGCTTGCATGCTATGGGCAAAATAATACGTTTCAAGTAGTTTGTGGAGTATAATCCCCTCTAGTCAGTCATACTCACCCCTAATATTATGCTGGCCAATATATACAGAGATTACTTTCTTGTGCAGTGCTTTTTGGACAGAAATGACTTTTATGCCACTTAATATACTTACAATGTACATGTAACCTTGGATGAGGTTTCCATAAAATGGGTTTTGAACCAGTGGTGGAAGAAAAATAAAAACTAGCTTGCTAGAGTTATGCAAGTTAGTGCACTAATTCACTAGTTACCAGGTCCAATATACATCTACAAACTCTGGATGGAGGCTTTTATAGTCGTAGTGTTAAACAATTCAGTCAAGTGTTTACAGACCATGACTCTTACCTCTCTCCCCTCCAAGATACCTGACACTAATAATAGCCTATGTAGCTGGCAGAATTGTTTTTCTGCACCTTAGCTGCAAGACGCAAGCACCTCCCCATTCTCCTCATGGCTAGCAACTCCTCTGCCAAAATTTTGCCTGCATTACGCACGTACACCACAACTTTACAATATACACATTGCACACCAACTGATAACAAATTACACTACTACTTACTAATATCAAGGGCAATTAAGACAAACTGGAGGACAGACTTGAAGCAGTAAACAAGATCAAATGCTGCAACTGGCAGGCCACTTACATTGGTGAAACCAGAAGAAATCTTAACTGACTGAACACAAATGAGCAACAAGAAATGGTGATGTCAACTATCACATTGCTGAATACCATTTACAGATGAAGCATGAAATAGACTGGGACTCTGCGACATGCATTATGTAATCAATGACTCACTTTAGAAAACTGGTTTACTAACTTAGGACAAACACCACTGAATCTTAGTCAACAGTTACCACCACCAAACAAACCTTTGACAGACTCAACCAGAACTAACTAGGAGAAAATGACTAGACAACCAACTGTTTGACTAACAATAAATGACTGTTTAACTGTGACATAGACAGATCAAAATGCATCAATGACATTATGAGTCTTCATAGCCAAAAACATCACAGCTTAACTGACAGATGAACAATAAAAATTGCGACTTAATAGACCAATCACAGGATGATAACAATCCCATCAACTGATCCGGCATGAAGCAATACAACTAACTTTGACTCTAAAGACTACCGCACTGGTTCTCAAAACTTCAGTCACTGTCAAAACAGTCCTGTCTAGAACTACATTCACCCTACTTACGAATAGGTTTACTTACAATGTGCCATGGAACCTGTGTATGTGATGATCAGGCTCAGCACACTTCAGTTCATAGGGGAATTCTCCTGGCAAAAATCTGGAATTATCCTGTCAAAACAAAGACAGCAGTGTATGGAAAGCATTCAAACAGTGATGTTGCATAGGATAATTAAGTAAACTCAGACTGCTTGTCAGGATACTTATGAAGGAAACTTCTAAAGCCATTTTTAAGGTAATACAATCAGATTAAGTTTTTTTTAATTACACTGAAACTATTTGGCAAGAATTTAAGACTGCTCTGAAAAAAGGAGTTATAAGAGCTATGACCATGCATGGAATGAATAAACTTGCCAAACATTAAACTACTTTTATGTTACAAGTTAATAACATATGGAATGATATTAGCTCAAAATCAGGAGTGATCAGCAAAGTGATTTTCAGAATTATTATGTGGTTTGACAGGAAGAATTTAAAGGAGGATTTTTCCTCTGCTTCAGATCAAGTACGCAGCAGAAAAGGTCAAAGAAACAAAAGGAAATTGACAGAAAAGCCTTAGTATGCATATCATTAATAAAAATGGACTTAAATGTTTGTCTTTAAGGGCCCATGTAATGTTTTGAAACCTCCCTAGCATTGTACAGTCTGATTCATAGGTTGGACATTAAATGCGCAGATCCAGAAAGCCTCTTTAATACTTCCGTAAAACACCACCCATTTACACCCATGGAAGCTCAATATCCTTATATAGGGGTTAGTTGGGGGAGTTCAAACCAAAGATTCCCCCATCCCCCCCCCCCCCCCCCAAACTTTATGCAGCACTGCAGATTTAAAAATGACCACAGTTGTGGTACATGTAAGTTGACTTACTAAATTTAACCCTTTGACAACTTCTTTCTGTTTAAGATTGGTTTCTCCATCAAGATTGGCTGTTTCAATGTGGCATATAGAGTTAGCATCACTTGAGTTTAACAACAGCAAGTCAGCAGGGATGATCTCATCACTCTGCAGCTTTATGAAATCACCAACTACTACCTTCTTCCATGCTGTCTTCTGGTATTCATGTGTTTCACTGAAAGTGATAAAACATGATGACATTATTACATGACTTGTATCTGATTGAGAAAGGAAAAAAGCTACGGCAAATACAGTGTAAGCTGTAGTTTCAAGTTTCAAGTTTTGTAACATTGAAGCAATTGGTCAGACTAAAAAATGCAAAGGAAAAAGGAAAAAAATATGAAAAGGAGAGGCAAAGAAAAAAAGTCATATATACTGTAAATTAATGTTAATGTCAATACAATTATTATTTGTAAGTTGATTGCATCATGTAAGTTTTAGCTTACACACATCCCCTGGTCCCAGCTAACAGACAGCAGCCATTTGAAGGGAGAGGGGGGGACAGGAGAGTGTGTGAGGTCTTCAAAGGGGTATATTATTAGCTGGGCACATTAACCAGCAAATAGACTACTAGTGACTTAAATGGGAATCTTAAATTAAACAACGACAATAAACTAGCTAAGCTGTCCTTTCACAACCACATGACACTTGAATGTTACAGTTTTAATCAAACAAATCAAAGAAAATACACTTAACAGATACATAAAGTGGTGTTAATGTTCATGTTAGTAAAGCAGTATTAATGCAATGGATGTGGATATTGGGCCATGATTTTCTGAAAGGCCAATATGACTGTGAGGAAATAATGACATTGGAATCTTTCTGTCTTGTCATCATACAATATCACTATAGAATAATTTTCCTGTGCCAATCACACAAATTTCTGATTGAAATAATAGTCTCCTTAATTTGACACACAAAATAAAAAGTCACAACTTGAAAGGGATTCAAGTTGACAAATACATGTTATCATCGTTAATGGTAACTCTTAAGATAATAATTACTCTTGCCATTTTTATTCTGACAAACAAATATAATACCCTCTAGGTTCACTAAATATTACAAACTGTAGGAATCTTTTGGTAAGGTTACATTGCTATCTATTAGGACAGTCATCTATTAGTGAAAGCTAGTCCAGTGGCTGGGAAAGGAAAGATATTGTTAAAAGAGTAAAGTGAAGTGGCTGCAATACATCCTGTATATAAAACAGCTGGTGAATGAATATTGGGTCATTATATTATGAAGGGCTAATACTTCAGGAAAAAGTGACATTATTTTACGTCACATCATCGAGTAATGGTTGCAAAAAATTGATAGATGGGAAATAAGACAAATTCCTTCATTCACGTTAACTATCCACACATAAAGTCTTAAGGAAAAACCTCTTTTCAACAGTAGATAAATTTATTCACATAATTTAATAAAGCCAAAAGTGCTTTGAATTTGTGTCCCCCTTCCCGTCTGCAAAAATTGAATATTAAAGTTATAAATAAAAGATTACTAAACAATAATAATAACAACAATTCTTACACGGGTACACATGTTCTGTGAGGGTTGTGCATACCATTTTATGTCATGTAGTTAGTATAGTGTAGATGTACAGTGAATGAAATGTGACTTAAATGGCAAATAAATTTAAAAAACTAATGTTTAATGTTATTCCCAAGGGTCTGCATACAGACAACATCTGTTTGGTTTATGCTGCAAGAATATAGATGGTATCTGCACACAGGTTTTCTTGATTATTATTCATGCATTTTTCATACTGTAACTGCAAATTTTAAATTCTATAAATGAGGAAAGACGCTTTAAGATCTGGTCATTCTCAGCAAGCCCCTATAGCTGTCCCATTTGCCTGTGGAATTTTTTTCATTGGTTTTAAACTTAAAAGCATTAAAAAATTCAAACAGGCAAATGAATTGTTGCAAATTTATCTACTCCTGGATGAAATGGTTTTGTCTACCACAATGTAGAATAGAGGTTTACCAAATAATAAAATATACAATAACTAGATTACCTTTACCCATTCATGTATCTGTTAAGGGTGAATTTTAGCTTTGGTTCAATTTTATTTTACTTTCTTTCTCGGTAAGGTATTAAATGCAAGACAATGATTTGCAAGGACAAAAAAATAAAATTTGAACTCAGGGAGTAAAAATGAAAGCAAAAGTAAAGCTCTAATTGAATCAACTTCAACATCTTTTAATTGACTGTTGAACAATTTTAACAAACTTCATTACTATTAAGCCCTTAGGAGAACTTGAGAGCTTTTAAGCCCAAGACTCATCGACTACTGTATGAAAATTACACGTTGACCAAAGATAAAGTAAGTAGAATTTTAAATATTGAAATTAAGTTAAGCTAATAGCTCGACACAAAAAAGTGAAAACCACGAAAACTTACAACCATTAGATATATTTATACAATAAATTTGACGAGAAAATTCTTACCTGTTGAAAACAAAGCAAGTACTGTTGTTCACTGCTTTATCTGATCTGTAACGTCTGCGATCTTCAAACAAATCTTTGATTGCGGTCACTGACAACACGAAAATCAAAGGCGCCATAGCGATGTATTTCCCAAATGCATTTATTTCTGGGATTAAATTTAAAATAACTATGACCAAAAAGTAAATGTTCGCGAAGCGATGGAACTGCTCGAATAAGTTCTTGGGAAGAAAAGACCATATTGAATATTTTGTAGTCTTGATCGCGTTGCCGCGGTTGTGTTTGGAATGAGGGTCGCGAAGACGATCTTTAGTTTGAGCATGTTTTGGAACAACAAGCCTGTAGCGTTCCTTTCGCTCGCTTGTGCTTCTCTCTTCCATAGTAAAACGAGCAATTTGACAGCATAAGAAAGCTTGGTAAGATATTCATATACGTGTTCAGTCGCACGGGGCCAAATCGAAATAAATGTATCAAGGTTTGCTGCTGCAAAGTACCTTTCACCAAAGCGGAAAATCTCCGGGTCACGAAAATTCACAAAACTTCCGTCACCCTGAGCCCGCAATCAACCCTTTCCGGACGAGATCGTTGAAAAATCGTCGTAGAAACTCGGTGAGAGAGATCTTCCGAAGATACCTTCAATACCATAAGCCTTCGCGCTCCTCAAAAAGACCGGTTGTAGCAGACGCCATATTGGACTGAGTTGTATTCGTATTCCAACTTTTGACGATTTCTCCGTCTTTTTGGAGTTTCTGGTTCAAGATGGGAAGAAAATGGGGTGCGATTGGATGGTCCAAGAATATAATTACCTATTCCTTGTCTCCATTTGAGCAGCGTGCTTTCGCTGGGTTTACCAAGAGTCTCGCCAATTTTGTGCGACGAGTGAAGTGGCAGTTGCCTTACCAGTTGCCGGCAATAATTACTGGAGTATTGATCTACAACTGGGGAACCAACGACTTCATACGAAGAAACAGAAAAAACCCAAAGGACTTTGAAAATGACGAGTGATTGACTCAAATTTGATGTGGATATCCTTTGCTCTTTAAACAATATTCCGGACGCTTTTACTTGATGTTGCATAACAAGACTGTAAGTCTTACTACTATTTGACTCTCTCATATCTCGTGAACTCATTAGGAAGATCTGTTGATTATGACTTAGTGCACTGATGTATCTGGATCACTATATGGAACGTTGACTGTAACCTCTGTGTTGTTGTTTTAAAGGAAATTTATTGCGTCTTTGTGGGCTTTGGATACCTCGCCATTTGGACTAAACTTTGTTAAAAATAATCTTGTGAATAAGCACAAATTGGCTTATTTTTAATGCAGCCAAGTTGTGAGTAAAGAGTGGAAATTGAATTGTGTCCATGTCAGTTAAGTTTGACAAATTAAATTCTTTTGGGTTGATGTATTTTGGTCAAATCACGCATTTTTGTCCATTTACTCCCCCTTTTGGGCACTCACTCAATATAGCTTTTGTTACTTTTAGCTAGGGGACAGTCGTTCTCTAGAGGAAAACCACAAAGTGCACAAGTACAATGACGAGTTGAATGCAATGAAAGAAAAACAAAGAATGAAAAAAGTGCCCCCCCCCCCAAAAAAAAGTGACACATCCTACAGTCATGAACAATGAATATTGCATTCAGGACATGTGAATTCTTTTCTTAGTAATATTTTTTTGTATTTTAGCCAATTTACGATAGATTAGACGGAATTAAGATATGTTCTTCACCAGCTGGGAGGTCCATATTGGGAGAAACTGTGCCTGAGGTCTTGACTACTCAGACCGAGGGCAAAGTTTCTCCCAATACGGACTGACCTAGGTCGCTGAATAACATTTTTATTTTTTTCCAACTGAGATTTAAAAGTTTCAGGAAAATTTTCCTTCACTCTCCAACCTATGTGTGTTGAAGTAGGACGCATTTGTGTTGATGAAGTGCGGGATCGATTGCAAACCAAAACAAAACATTACAACATGATTCTTAACTCATTAATTTATATTATGGCACTTACTGCTCTCTTTTAGAATAAAGAAAGGCTTTTGTGTCTTGCAAGACAATTCATAATATGAGTGTCAACAAGGATAAAAGAATTGACGAGCTTGATATTAACCCATTCGCTCCTGGAGATTTTGCCGAAAAACGCGTTTTGAAGCTAGTCGAGTGGTTTTCTGGTCACTGTCATGCTATAAAGAGCTAAAACTTAACACAAACCGGTTTACAGGTCGTACACTTGGCAGCCTTCT